TACTTTGCTTGAGTATTTCCTTATGCTTCTTTGTACTTTGACTTCCTTGCATTTCAGAGAGAAATATTGAACATTTTAGGTCACTACATTTATTTGCCAATTTTAGCCAATAGTTACTTCAGATAATGATTTTAACATTGGGATTGTGTAAGATTTTACATGATTTAGCCGATTATACACAATATATTGATAAATCTTAAATCTGTGGTGTTCAGCCATTTTGACATATGACATTGGGGCCTATTGTCACAGATGTAATACTTTGCAGTCCAATTAAGGAGTGATTTTCCCTCTAAAGTAAAAACCTAAAAAATATAGAAGAGAACCAGTAAAAGCGCTCACCAGTAGAAATGGTCCTGGCTGTGTTCAGCAGGGTCCCAGCAGACTGACACAAGGACGCTCCAACTCTCAGCAAACCTCCCAGTACAGACATGGTTTCTACGATAAGATGTGAACAGATAAAAGTAAACAGTAAATCAGGTAAACTGACCATACTATTCGACGCTTATTAACGATATTTTAACGCGTTAACTGGTCGGTATACTCTTTAACTTCTCATTGACCCTTAGCTTTAGCTTTAGCTAGCAAACGCTATCAAAGTCAGTATAATGAACATTACCTGTTTCAACGCGAATCTGCAACTTTACGCCAGTTGGGTCCCTTTGTAATTGTAACGACAGAGCATAAACTGAAGCCTGATGCAGAGATGTAACACTTTAAAATTAATGTTATTACGGCTTCGACATGCTGCCAACGGCCGCATCCATCTTACTTTGTATCCCACAATGCATTGCACCGGTGCCGTATTGTCGTTAGGGCAGCGAAAAACAATCGTCTGACGGTTTTTGTACATTGCATTTTTCACCCAGTAGATGGAGGTAGCGGTGTCACAACAACACAATTAAATCAAATACATTCAGCTGGTATTGTATTGTATTGTAAAGCAGTCTAATACAGTGCTGTTGCAATAAACCCTGAAGGTAAAATTATAAACAATAACATTAAAACCATGAAGGTTTTAATTTTCAGTTTTTTATTGAAATCGTTTCAGAGGGGTGTTGATTCAAGTCATTTTGGAGGATGCAGTTTGGGGTGCTCATACAGAGAGCTGTTTCTATTCTGCTCTATTCTATTCGACTCTTTTACATTACATTACCATTTACATCACTGAGGGTAGGCTGAATAACACAAACACCTCTCCGTGCAATGCATAACACTTCACCACCACCACAGACTACATCTACTTCTACTCCACTACATCTACATTTAACTAAGCCTATAGTTGCTAGTTATTTTTCAGATGAACATTTTACCTCAAAAATATGACAAGCTTATAAAATAAAATACAAAACTCCCTAACTGTAACTGTGTATTTAAAGGATGCTGTAATCATTACTTGAATTAGGTCTTGTAGATTCAATTTCAGCTTTTAAAATACATTCAACAATGAGAAAAATCTAACCTAGTTCTACTGAGAGTTTTATTATTTTAATCAGAGAGATCTGCATTATGCCTCTGTTTCTCTCTCTCTCTCTCTCTCTCTCTCTCTCTCTCTCTCTCTCTACTTCTCTCCCTCTCTCTATCTATCGCTATCTAGCTCTCTCCCTCTCTCTCTCTCTCTCTCTCTCTCTCTCACATACACAGAAACACATGTACACACGCACACACACACAGACCGATACTTTCAGTCTTACTGTTAAAGCTAGATGGAATATTTTGTCATTTTCAAAGAAACAAGTACAATGTGATCTTTGTCTTTATTTCATTCTTGCAAAGACGTCAGTGAGAATGTGGAAATTTAAACCAGACGACACATTTTTAAACATTAGATTCCGTTCCACTTTCATATAACATGCAGCAATAGCCTTTGCAGACAAAGGTTAGTGTCTGTCTCTAAGTGTGCAGCATGTGTCTGAGCCATTAATTTGAACTTTTGACTTTCTTTTACATCTGCAAAACCCTGTGTATAGGTTAAAAAAGAAAAAAGGTAGTGCAAATCAAGTCAAGTAAATATCATTGGATATATGCAGTAGATTAAAAAAAACAAAACACAAAAGGATTTTTCAGAATCCAGCCTTCTGCTAAAGTGATGCAAAAAAATATGATGCAGTATTTCTCATAAACCCAATACATATTCCGGAAAGCAGCATTTATGTGCTTAATTATTGCATCTCAGATTCACACAGTCATGTTCTCATGTGTCAACGTCTATGCTGAACAAAATGCTGACATAACAAATTATAAAATTTTCACAGCAGGGCGGCTTTTTTTTTTTTTTTTAAATCTGTGCTCTGCTTCCAGTAAAACTCAGTGGAACATTATATATCATCACCTACACATACAGGCAGTCATATAATCATATCAGTTATTGACAATCAACCACAGCAGTGTTTCTAATAATTCACAAAGTGTTTTATTGCTTATTGAAGTTTGTTAATGATGAAATTAAAAAACTGATTGCATTATTGATAGTGGCACAGGAACAAACTACTCACTTGCTGAATTTCTAGAGAAGAAATGTGTTCTGACTATTTTCCAAGATCACCCCTATTAACATAACATCTGCATTCTTCAAGCTCAGAGCTCAATTGTTTCCATGTGAGGGGCATTTTCTTCCACAGTCCCTTCAGCACATATTCAGATACAGTGGTAGTGACTAAACATCAGCTGTAGGAAGGACCACTTAACAGTAAGTGACGCACTCATACCCCCAACACTGAGAGCCACAGGCACAGTTTGAACAGATTTTGTTTTGTTTTTCTTTTTTGTGAAAACACCGAGCTGAAGCCACAGCCTGAAACAAATATGACACCAATTTGAATTTGAAGGCTGACAGTGTTTTGATGTGAGGAGGATGTGTGAATGGAAGGGTGGAGAACATGAAAAGATTTTACTTACACTATCACTCACCCAGCAGTCACACAGCTTCTACTAAGGAAAATGTCTCCACGAGCTGAAGAAAAACAGCTCTGAGGTTTCACCCACACACCCTCTCTCAGGTGTATCTATCCATCTGTATTACTTTCTATTTGTCTATGTAGACCTTTTCAGGATTGATAGCTAGATAGTTAGATAGATAGATAGATAGATAGATAGATAGATAGATAGATAGATAGATAGATAGATAGATAGATAGATAGATAGATAGATAGATAGATAGATAGTTTGACAGATAGATAGCTAGATAGATGCTAGATAGATAGATAGCTAGATAGTTAGATAGATAGATAGATAGATAGATAGATAGATAGATAGATAGATAGATAGATAGATAGATAGATAGATAGTTTGATAGATAGATAGATAGATAGATAGATAGATAGATAGATAGATAGATAGATAGATAGATAGATAGATAGATAGATAGATACCTGGTATTGTATAGAGTAATATTCAGACCTTGAAGTAAATCCATATACACACAGATATACAGGGACACATATAGAGGAACTTCTTAAATGTTTATTAATGTACAGTATTGTCAGTTTCACCCATACACTCTCAGGTGTATCTATCCATCTGTGTTACTTTCTATTTGTCTATGTAGACCTTTTCAGGATAGATAGCTAGACACATAGACAGATAAACAGCTGGACACATAAATATTTATTTAGCTAGATAGATGAGTGGATAGATAGATAGATAGATAGATAGATAGATAGATAGATAGATAGATAGATAGAAAGATAGATAGATGGATAGATACTGGTATTGCACAGATGAATATTCAGACCATAAAGTAAATCCATATACACATAGACATAAAATACAGGGACATATATATCAATGTACTGTACTGTCAATTATCACTTCTCCCTGATGACATTTTATATGATTACAATTACCTCTGCCTATGGGTGTCCACAGAAAGAGTTATAGTTGTTGATACATTAATAAACACTTACATTTCCTTGCAACTACCTGTAAAGTGTGTTATAAACCATCTGTTGAAAGGGGAACTAAAAGTAGGCTAACGTGTTATTAAAAGTATGAGCATCATAAACATAAATCTTGAAACCACATAGACAGAGCCAGCACCAGGTGTAAGACAAGTGCGCAGTATGTTATCTTTTATTTTAAACCTCTGATCAGTCTAATAAAGTACAGTCAAAAAACATTGTTCTTTTAGCTTTCACCTATGGTAGAGTATTTTCAATTAATCACTTTGCTTGACGAAAAATACTGAAATTAAAATGAGGTGTTAAACAAATGTGTAGGCCTGTTTCTACTATAGTGGCTGTAGGAATTGACGACAAGGAAAAGAGAGAAGCGAGAATGGAGGGAATGATTCACTTTCATGAATATCCATTAGAACAAGCTACCATGCTACTAAATGGCCTTGTTCTCATACTGGTGATGCTGATGATGTTGATGATGATGCTGAGACCTGTGAGTTAACTAGCGATTGTAAACGCAAATGACTGGCAGTGACGGAAGAATGGTTTTTAGAGTTGCAGTTTTACCATCTCGGTTTCAAGGTAACGGCTAGCACTTCCGTGAATGAAACAGAAGACATTTGTAAACAAGTAACATTCACTGCAGTGTGTGGAGAATCATTATAATGTAGCTCACTGTTTATTTGGCAAAGGCATTTCTAAAAAAAAGAGCTTTACTGTTGCGGTACAACAAACTTCAAACAAGTCATACATATGCTACCATTCATAGTCCTGTACAACGCCTGTTGACTTGTGTATGTTGTGTATGCTTCGGTTTGCAAAGGTTGCACATGTTGCAAATTGTTACACAGTCCATTTGATGTGAAGGAGGAAACAGGGTGAAGTAGAGAGAATCCGTGGGAGGAAGTGGGTCCCCCTGTTTGCATCTCTGTCTTATAGTTTCCAGGTTGACAAAGTCTGACCACATCAAAGCCTGGCTTGTAGCTGAAGTCACATGATCACAGGAGAGGAACTACCAGACTCTCCGCCCCCATCAACACCCACGAGCTCATATATACCTCTTCAGCCCAACTAAGAAAAACACATCAGAGAACACGTCAAACACAGAGAAAGTCAAGCACATTCAAGAGTGTGAAAGAGATTACAGGAAAGTTTTTGGATTAATTTGAACAGCAAAATGATGTTGATGGAGTGTTTCATCCTTGGGATGCTTACCTTTCTCATGACAGGTAATTTTATGAATTTTTTTTAACACTAATTTGCAATTTAAAGTATATTAAATTCATATATTTTTTGCAAACTTTCTGAAACTTTTTTTTTATGTTTCTTCCTCAGGAGTTCGATGTGAGGTAACAGAGGTGTTTGCTGAAGCAGGCTCTCAGGCTGTACTGCCATGTAAATGTACATGCACATCCTCTACTGAGCCTGCCATCGTCTGGAGTAAAGTCAACAAAGGGTAAGACAGAAGTTGTTTTCCCTGTCTATTATCAAATCCCTCTATTCAAAACAAAAACTTGCATCTATATGCTGATGACAATGGACTGTTGTGACACCTCCTACCACAGCACTGTCTGGAGAAAGCAGAAGAACGGTCTGCAGTACAGGGGTTCTAGCTGGTTAGAGAAGGGGATCAAACGTGTGGACTGCCCCCACTCTCAGTTTGAAAGAAGAGACTACAGCCTGCAAATCAAGAATGTCAGGGAGGATGATGGAGGGCTTTACTCCTGCAGCATTGAATTTGAAGACCAGATTGTCAAAAACATTGTCATGCTAAGAGTCATTACAGGTAATAAACTTGTGCACAATATCATACCTTGAAAAACTGGATGTTTTGAATGTCTTTACATGCACTGCAACGACCCAATGAAATGGCTAAATCCTTTCAACCATTAGATAAGATATTGAAAAAGCACTGATTAAGCATGCCAGAAAAAAAAATTGTAATTCCTCCAGACAGTGAAGATGTTTAACTTTTTTAGCTTGTATTATTAAGTATATACATTCATCACAAACATTCATCTCTGGTCTTGTCCTTGTCTTTGTCCTTCACAGTGTCCTTCTCTCCACCGGTTCTCATATCAAGGAGTTATGTTTCAATCACTTGTGGTGTGACTCCTTGGCTTAATGAAGCATCCGTGCAGTGGATGCTGAACAACAGCCCATTTATTCCACAGACTGGAATCACCTTAAACAGAGACACTTCTAAAAGCGTTGTGAGTGGAAAGGTAACGGAGGGACTGACGGGAAACTGGACCTGTGTGGTGAGCTACAAGGGCAAAGCGGGGCGAGCTTCAGCAGCTCTGTCTGTGAGAGGTGAGATGCTCAAGAGAAAATGCCTACAGAACTCAAATATTGTAAAAAAAAAAAAAAAAAAAAAAAAAAAATTGAGCTGTTCAAAATAACTTTCATGAAAGATGTTCTTAATGCATATTTTCTTTATTTCCCTTGAAGGAATCATCCAGCCATCCAATGACAACACCAAGGTGTATGCAGCTGTGGGGTCTGCAGTCACTCTCCCCTGTGTCTTCTCCCCTGATTTAGACCCCTCTATTCCAACCTGGGAAAAACTGCAACCTGGGTCTCTGTTAAAACCTGTTCCAGGCCACCTCCGTCCCTCTTTTTCTCCATCCAAACAGTCCCCTAAACTCCCCTCTGATATGTCTGTCAGTGTGAAAGAAGTTGAATTTAAGGACAAGGGCAAGTACAGATGCTCTGCGACCGTACAAGGACAAAAGCTGACTCGAGATATCCAGCTCGTGGTTGCCAAAAGTAAGCTTCTGTGGATTCAGTTTACGCCTCTGTAAAAATCCACTCTGTATTTGTTTTTTTGCCAGCTACAATAAATTCTATTGTCTTATTTTTCTCTCAGTTGACAGCAGCGTCTTGTCAAAGAAAAAAGACTCCGTAACGCTGACCTGCCAACTGTCAGACATGAGCGAGGTCACTGACTATGAGTGGGTTCATGTGACCTATGATATCAATGGCACCCAGTCAGTTGGGTCCATCCAGAAGGGGAAGACTCTGAGTATCAGCCAGGTGTCAGAGGAGAACTGGGGCGAATGGGTATGTCGATTCTCCAGCAAAGATGGCATTTTGGGAAACGTGACATACCACGCTCAACTGATGAGTAAGTTCTCTCCTCCTGATTTGGTTCTGTTTATGCCGTATAATAATAAGATAAATATTCTAATATTGTACTACATTGATTTCCACAAAAAATGTCACGTTGTGCCTTTACCTGACTTTTCCTGGTGTTTTTCTTTACAGGTGGTCTGAGGGGACAAAAATCCTCAAGTTTCTCACAGAACACCGGTGCTGTGGTTGGGCTCAGTCTTCTCCTCCTTGTTCTCCTGCTGATTCTGGCTCAGATGTACAAGAACCACCGAAGGGTAAATTTCTGTGGTTCATTCAATTTTTTTTTTCTGTGGGACAATTTCAGTTTCCAAATTTTTGAGACGCAAAATTTTGAAATAAGGGAGATTATTGTCTATCACTTGCTTCCAGGAAATGATTTGCATGAGTTCTGCTGGGAATAAATCATCTTATCTCATTAACATAATTTTGAATTTTATACAGAAAACAAGGAGTAAAAAAATACATACAAGACTGAATTGAACTGAATTAAAATCCATGTATGTGTGTGAGGGCATTCATATATATGATCTTGGATTCTACTTTGTGCTGCTTATTTTAATAATTTTGCTACTGTTTTTTTTCCCTCTTCACAGAGGAGAAGGATCTTTCAATACCCTGCGCTGGAGACAATTGTTCATACCATCTCCAATGAGCGGGAGGAGAGAGAAAGAAGCCGAGTGAAAATGTAAAGATACGTTAAAGCAGAAGCATCACAGGAAATATTTTTAAAGTGAAATCAAACTTCTTCATGCCCGCAATATGTATATGTTACTTTTGTTTGCACAGATTTTGTAAATACTTTCAGAGCAGACGTTGTAGCAGCACTCGTCATTGTTTTAATAAAAATCTAAATTGAATGTTGTATATTACCCTGTTGTTTTAGCTGTAAATGCTTTTGATTGTTTTATATGAGGATTTTTTTGCATGTATGGTACATATTGGGAACAAAATGTTTTAAAAAATAAAGTGCATTTAACAGAAATAAATCTGGTTTAATTTATTACATTATATACAATCTGAGGTTCTCCAATGAGAGAGGAAAATCGTAACAGATATAAATTAAATATACAGTAATTTATAAAAAAAAAAATTCATTATATTACACAAAACATTGACCGTGTATTTATGTGATATTCTAAAAACATATTTACATTATTTTATTTAATTACAGAATCTTACAGTGATCATAAATTCCGAGTGAGGATGTGCGTCCTGTCCTTTGTCCCTCTGAAATTCACATTCATAGACTGAATTTTGTTGAATTTAATACAACTGTCTGTGATCTCAGATGGCTGATTGGCAGTCTAGTTTTGTATCACTTCATTGTGTAGTGCAGCTTCAGATCTACACCTGACTACACTCCCCGTCTTCTTGCTCTGAAAATTCATGAACATCCGATAAGGCCAAGGATCGACTGATGCTGTCCAGAAGCCCTTCATTTCCAGGGTGTAAATGGTTCAGGACTTCATCATCATCAAAGCACCAGCCTGGCCAGTCCACATTTACACCTTCTGTGAAGACAACACTGAAGAAAGAGAGAGAGGTCAAAACTGATTACTCTTGAAACTCTTTACTGTGCCCGTAGTCTCTCCACTGCTAAATACTGTAACTGTCCAAGACTACACGTCCTTACACATCTGGTACTCTGCCTCAAGATGGATAATACATTTTAATTTCATCTTTGATTGTATGGACTTTGTGAGGTAGAAAATGCATTCAGTGTATTAATTAAGACATAAAAAGTGTTGTGGTTAGAAACATGACAAACACATTAGGGCAATTTAAAGTTTCCATTCTCATAGAACAATGCACTGAAAACTCATTTCAGTAGTAGAGATCTGACAGCTTAAAAGTACATTTCCAAAATAAGGGGAATGCAGATAAATTCAACCAACACAGAGCAAAGTATTAAGAGAATGTGCATCTGCCTATTATTTAAAGAAAAAGAGGCAAAATGTTTATGCAAAATTTTATTATTTTAAAGCATTTTTGCCTTTATTATAGCCACAGTGAGAGACAGGGAAGTTGGGGAGAGAGAGGGGATGACATGCAGCAAAGGGCCAGAGGCTGAACTCAAACCCAGGCTGCTGCAGTAAGATTAGCCTTCATGGTACGCACTGTACCAGGTGAGCCAAAATTTATGAAAACCCTGATCTGTACCAAGGACAATGTATAGCATCCAAATTTTTAATACACTATGGAATGTATGTAATGTAATGTAATGCATGCTTGTGAATTATTATTATTATTATTATTATTATTATTATTATTATTATTGTTAGTGGTACTAGTCAAAGAACATTTTCAAATATTATTTGTCACTATTGTCCATTTTGCACATTGTGCGTTCAAGTATCTAAATGTATGAGGGAACCAGACTTATATAATAATACTAAAAGTTGTATCTCAGCCCTGCATGCTTCTAAAAGTGGAGCCACTGGAAAATGCGATGTTACACATGCATGCAAAATAGTTGCTTTCGGGGCTTTTCTTGCTCTACTTAAGCCTGGATAATCCAGGTCTGTCCCTGTTCTGAGGCGCAAAGATTGAGACTGCCGAAGTCATACTTGTACTGGGAAAATAAAATAATCTGCCTCTCTTCAGTCACCTCAATTTCATGAATGACATGTGATATCTACATGTTCTTTCTGATACTGGGTGTATTTTTGATATTAATGTTGGTGCGATATATCGGTTTTGATGATAACAATGATATTTAGAAAATTAAATGTTGATCATCACCATGTAAGGTTCACTTTTTAATTGGTTGCTCGATTGGCTCCTGAACTAGACTAATGCCTTCTTGGAAATGTGGTAGTTGGTGTGATTGTGTTAGTAATGTAGTGGGTGTGTGTCATTTATGTGTCATCTGTTGTGTACAGTTGCATCTCTTTTTACTTTTCATTCTTTCGTTCTTTTTGTTTTTTTACAGTGCATGGTCAACACACCTTTTCCACCTGGGGATTAATAAATGTATCTGTCTCTCCATCCAACAAATTCATACATACACACACAGTTAATCATACTACTACTACTAACCTGCTCCTGTTATCATCTTCATCTCCGTCTACCAGCTGCTCTTTCCATCCTTTACTCACTGTTAGGGCTCTGTGTCTCATCAGTTTCACCTCCTCCTCCCAGTCTGTGTCTCTGTCTCCATCACTGGGCAATGGTGAAGGTGTGGTGGAAAACGAGGGGGAAGGAGGAGGATATCTTGACCTCAAATTGTGCCTTTTCAGGTTTTGCTCTCTTTTTGATCCATGCTCCCTCACTCTCACTTTGGCTCTTTCCAGAAGGCCCTCCAGAGGTGAGGGGTGTCTGTTAGGATAATACCCTGAGATGGGAAATGGTGTATATTGTTCTTGGGGTAAAGTGTACAGGCTACTGCGTTGCAGATGAAGTCCATGCTCCCCTTCAATTATGATGTTAGGAATGGAAGCACTCCTTTGGGTTTTCACTGAGGGCCTTTTTCTATGGCAGTTCGGATCAGGCAACTCAGGTTCAGACAATGTTTGGGGATCTGGAGAGACTCTATCATTCATGCACCAAAACATGCCTTGGTTCGGTTTCAGGGAGCCCAGCTTGAGCACCCGGTGTGAATCTGAGCTTTGGCCAGAAGGAAGAGAGTTTCTCTTAATGTTTAGGCTGTAGTCTGAGTCAGAGTTGGTGGAAGAGTTGTTTGAAGCAGTCAAAGTCTCTCCTGAGCCCTGGAAGAACTGCTTGGACGTCTGAGTAGAGGAACCCTGATGGATGCTGACTGGCCTCCTCCTCCGTAACCCTGGTGACGTCAAATCTTTTGAGAACCCCCAAATCTCTGGAGATGTCTCCGTGTCTCCAGACTGACTGTAGCTGGAATTTCTCTTGATGTTGTGGTTCACAGACTGGCAATCTCTCCTTATTGATATTCCTCCTTCTCCTGGTAGTCTTTGAAACTCCCTGGACATTGATGGTTGGTAGGGAAGTTGTACAGTGCTATCTTTGTTGGTTGGGTAGTCAACATCTGGTAATCCACCTAGTAAAAGACTGTATGGTCCAGTTGTATTGTATCTTAATGGATCTGCAGCAGTACTATGAATGAAAAGATCCAGATTAGGGGCAGATTGGGCCTTGTGGTTAAAGGTCACCTTTCGCTCCTTTGTCATCTGAGACTCAACTATTTTCTCAACTTCCTCTGTGTGGTTCCCATCTTCATCTCTTCTCACTCCCATTTCTATCCATTCATATCCTTTGATTGCTTGTTGCCAACCAGCAAAGCTCTTATGCACCGATTTACGATTACTGTTGCTGGGCTGGGGCTGCGAAAAAAGTAACCCTGTGTTGTTAATGGCCACATTATCTGCTGGTTGATAATGTCCCTCTGCTTCTTTAGATGCCAACATCCCATTCATTGACTGAGCGATAATAAGTTCTTCAGTAAGATGATCTACAAAATTTTCCTCTCCTGATTGTGTAAGAGGTTGTTCTTCCATCTCCATATCTCCCATCTTGGCTTCTTCAATAGATTTGGCCTCCAGCTGGATTTTCCAGTTTTCCTGTTTTCTGCTGCTCTCTGTCTTTCTCAGCTTCGTCAGTGTTTCCTGAAAATGTCACATAGAAATAAAAAGATAAAGCATCCAACAATGAATGTCTTACTTGTATTACTATTCCATATAACAAGACTAAGAATCTACAGCTATGCTAGCAGCTCTGTGAGGCTGTACTTAGACACAGCAGTCCTTTGACCCAAATGCTAACATCAGCATGCTAACATGCCGACAATGACAATGTTAACATGCAGATATTAAATCAGTATAATGTTTACCATGTTAACCTGTTTAGTTTAGCATATTAGTATGCTTAAGCTTGCTAATTAGCACTAAACAGTACAGTACAGTCATCCAAGTATATGGAAACACGCTGAACCAAAAATGTCAACCCCATGGTAGTGCTGGAGGAAAAGTCATTTGGATTCCCTGAGAACCAAGAATTAACCAAATTTTGTACCAAACTATGTAGTAGAAGTGAAAACTTTTAACTGAATAATTATGACCCTTTATTGCCATCAAAAGACAAGTCAGGGGACCACCAAAGTCAGCAGGATTTACCTTCTGGTGACCATGAAGGTCTGTACAAAATTAAATGGCAATCCATCCAACTGTTGCAGACATTTCATTCTCAAATAAAGTAGCTGACCAACTGGCCATCTGTAAAGCTTCAATGCTAGTGTGGCTAAAAGCTAAATGAGACTACAATCTTTTCTAAAGTTTTGGTCAGAAATATCTGTTGTACCTTCGCCTGGTGGATGGTGGAGACCCATGTGGAACAGCTCTCTGAGGTGCTGGCTGCAAATATGTAGACATTCATGGCACTCTGAAGTTCACCTACCTCCACGAGAACAAATGAACCTGACAGAAGAAGAGGATTGGTAATGGGATCTATAATATATCTATGCAGAACCCAACTGTCTTGGCTCAGGGTCTATAAGAAATTGTTACTCACAGCCATCTTTCAGTGCTATGCAGGAAGTTTTGTCCAGGGCCAGAGGAGGTCGAACCACTTTTAGCCGCTCTCCTTTCTTCTGGCCTTTAGTCATTAGAAGCACATCTGAGAAAAGTAGAGCCACCACCTCCAGCTGCATCACGCCATGCATGAGGAAACACAAAAAAAAGTAATGGAAAAGGATGTTCTGAAGAGATAAATTAAAATGTACGGTATCTGAGAGCACAGGCTCTGCTCACTTTGCCATCTTTTCTGTCCCGAATCTTCAAGTTCTCCTCCAGCAGCAGCTTACGTACGAATCCAGGTCCCACTCCTCTGATGGGGCATGTTAGGTCAAACTGGCAGATTTCTCGGACATGCTGTCAAGGAAAGCAATCATTAGTAATCATCAGTAGTAACTCATATTTGAGCGGGTAACAGTTAATTTTGGCCGAAATCTCTATTGTTCAGTATTGTCATC